TCTCTCCGATTCATTAATTCCATTCCCTCTGCAATTTTTCTTTCCTATTTCTCTTCCCCCTTCATTCATCCCCCTTTTTCTCCTTACTTCTTTCTATCATCCTCCTCTTTCTCTCTCCCATTCATTAATTCCATTCCCTCTGCAATTTTTCTCCACTCTCTTTCCTCTCCCCTCTTTTCTCTTCATCATTCCTCTTTAACTCTTTCCCTTTCATCTCTCTCCTTCATTCATTGCTCTTCCTCTCTACTCCTTTTTTTCCTCTTCCTTTCTCCCCTTCGTTAATTCATTTTCCTCTCTTCTTTCCTTCTCCTCTCTCCCCTTTATTCATTCCTCTTCCTCAGTTATCTCATCTTTCTCTCTCCCATTCATTAATTCCATTCCCTCTGCAATTTTTCTTTCATATTGCTCTTCCCCCTTCATTCATCCCCCTTTCTCTCCTTACTTCTTTCTATCATCCTCCTCTTTCTCTCCTTTTTTCTTCCTCTCATCCTCCTCTTTTCCCTTCTCCTCTCTCTCTTATTTTCAGCTGTTCGATTTCAAACCGAGCGACGAAGACACGGCTTGGCTGGACAACTTGGACCCAGGGAGAGACGGAAAGATTTTCCTCTTCAAAAACGTTTTTCTAGGGCAGTTTTTCATGAAGCCTAAATCATAGTTTGGATATTGGTGTCAGTATATCAAGTTATTTTCAGGAGTAATCATGTACTATCCTTTGGCCCTTGAGGATTGCTTACTCCATTATTAAGATAATATCGACTGTCATTATGATGATCTGACACGCATACCATCCGCCGTTGCAGTTGCGTGTTATATTCATTGTAACGCTATCACTGCTCTAAGAAGTAACATTTTCTTGAGGTAACTATGCATGAATGTAGCTATTATAATTCTGTTTCTATTTTTTTTCTATTTTCAGGATCGAGAAAATCATAATCTTATAATCATATGTAATACTTATAAATTGTAGCTACGAATGGTTTAGTTGGTGGTTTCCTCATTTCACTTCTTTCTTCACTGTCATTTTTATTTTCTGACTTCATCTGCTTACCTCAAAACTATGCAGACCAAATGGTTTCCGATTCCCCACCATAGTCCGGGCTGATGGCGACTCCCGGGCTGTCCTTCGCATCGCTTCGGACTTCGCTTCGGACTTCGCTTCGAGCTGCTTCAAATCAAGCTCTATTGATGTCCTTGTCTCCAGCTTGTTTCAAATGTTCCTGTTCGTGATGTTGCTTTATGCTAAAAATGCTTCAAGCCAAACTCGACCTTATCAATCGAATATTCACAAAAAATGGGAAGAAAAACTTTAAACATGAACTTACCTTTCCCTTCTTTAATTTACTAGGTTAAACCTTATGGAGAATAAATAGTGCTTTATTCCCCATAAGATGCAATTAGTAAGCATAACAAAAATATGCAATATTTGTAATCCTTTCTTATAGAATTGATTAGGTTTTTAGCACCTGATAAGAAATGTGCCATAGAGGTGATTATTTGTCTCGATGTCCCAGATAATGTAGATTAAGAAGATCTAAGACGTATGAATGAGAAGATTGTATATTTTGTTCGTTACTTCCACTGAAATAGATAGAGTATTCTTGTTCAAATTGTTTATTAAACTTTCTTTGTGCTTAAAATGAGAAACTGAAGTATCTTACCCCGAGTCATAATTGCCTTTATAAGTCATCGTGGGAGTATAAGAATCAACATCACTATAATTTGTATAGGAAAGTAAACAAAATATAACTGAATTTGTGAATTTATCTCCAAGAAAACCTATTGCTTTGTTCGGTATATACTTTTTTTTACTTTCTTTTTTTTAGCGAAGGGAAGATCCAATTGATTTGTTCGGTATATACTTTTTTTTTACTTTCTTTTTTTTTTTTTTAGCGAAGGGAAAAAAATCCACTTCGTAAATTGGTGAAGATTCATAATTTGAAATCATCGATCCCCTTCATCTAATCTTCACTAATCTCACAATCTTCGTCAGTCTCGATAGAAAGATATGAAAGTGTCATACCCATTTCATTATCCGTAAAGATATGGGAGTTAAACTTTTCATTGTATTGTGGGAAAATTATCATCATCTTTTTCAGTGTACCATTTATTTTGGATTACTTGTGTTATATAGATATTTTTTTTAGCTTAAGATGAATGTGGTGAATACATTACATATGTTGAAGATACTGTACTATGAAAATTAATAATAAGTGTTACTACCAGATTACGAGAAGGCAGGTTTTCAGCTAATTGTGTGCAATGAATTAATATAATTTTCCATTAAAGATAGTATATCCCTTTTCCACTTAAATAAACTACAATTGTTATGTAATTTGTTTCTAACCGAGAGATTTCCGGGAAGAGCAAGACAAGAGGCTACGTGACTGGTTATCATCTGCTGAAATTAGTGATAAACAAATACATGGTATAGGGAGCCGGGGTGAGTCAGTCCGAGATGAATCAACAGATCTGCAGGAAGAGGCAGGTGTGAATCTCCGTTACGCATAACACCTCTTACTGCAGACGGAGGCTATTATCCCCAGGGGAGCCTCGGACAGAAGATCATATCATATGTACAGATTCCATGGTAGTCATTAATAGCTTGCGTCATAACATGTCCCATGACAACGTCTCTTTTATTACGTCATGGGAGATGCTTCATCCTAGGCTGGGTCTCAGGTTCCTTCGTGAGAACTGGCTTTCTTACGGACGGAAAACACTCCAGGGAGAAGTCCTTCGCAGAAGAAGCCGCGTGAATTGTGAATTCGATGACGCGATTCACAACAACGACTTTTTTTTCCCGCGATTTGGATGTTAGTAAAGTTAACGAGAATCACTGTGAACGGTTCAGTATAAACAGATAAATGTTCTAAGCCCGTGTAAAATAAACAAAAGCAATAGCTTGGACCCCGATGTAGTATATTACCAGAATTGGCAACTTGGTGGAAATCCGTTTCCTCTTGCGGATTTCATCTTCAAACAACGGAAATTTTTGGCATGTAGCGGTTAGCATAAAATGTGTAATTCAATGAATTTGAAAGTTACTTTGACGCATCTTAGAATTGATGAATGCTGTAATAATAGCGGTACAATTTAGAGAAAGTAAAGATATGTAACAATAATCAACATTCTTTAATAATCTGATATCTTACATGAAAATATACCATTTTCAAGTCCCAGACGAACAAAAATACATATATATGTATGTATATATATAAATACACACACACACACACACACACACACACACACACACACACACACACACACTTATATATACATATATATATATATATATAAATATATATATATATATATATATATATATATATATATATATATATATATATATATATATATATGTACATATTTAAATGTCCATACACACACACACACACACACACACACACACACACACACACACACACACACACACACACACACACACACACACACACACACACACCGGCTTCTCCATCCACCGCTACAATTTTTATGCTATCAGTATTAGATAAAACTTTAAAAACATCAAAACCATAGTCTCTTTACTATTATCTAAGAATGATGATGAAAAGGAAGAGAAAACAAAGAAAAGACAATTTATTGAAAGAACATGAGACTTCCTTTACGGAAACAAGATGGAAAAATGTAAAGCATACTACAGAGGACAGGATAAGCAAGCACCATGAACTTAACATCATAAAAATTTGAAGCTATCATTCTGGGCCTCGAGTTTCTAGAATGGAATATGGAATGGGAATTCTGGATGGTTCTCAATCCTGGAAAAAAAGAAAGAAAAAAGTTTATCAATACACTAAGACAAAATTCAAGATGGCTACACAGGTAGATACGTCTTCAGTTACCACAAGAAAAAGTTACTTCTTAGAACAGTAGTAGCATAATTATCTACGAATGTAATGTAGGGCCTTAATGTACGGTTACGATATCTAGCGACGGATGAAGTATTTATGCCAGATATTATGTAAATAATGAAGTAAACAAAATATAGGGCACAAAATAAACTTTTTTACATGATTATACTTTTGTACATGATGGATCCTGAAGATAACTATATATACCAACACACTGATCAAACCTGTAGCCAGTATTATCTAATCTTTTTAGATATTTTAGATACTTGTAGGTATAATTACCCTAAATAAACATTTTTAAAGATGAAGATTTTCCCGTCTCTCCCTCGGTCTAAGCTGTCCAGTTCTCTCATGTCTTCGTCGCTCAGTTTGAAGTCGAATATCTGAAAATAAGAGAAATTGAGAGGAAGGGAAGATAGGAAGAGGAAAGGAAGGAAAGAAGAGGAATGAATGAAGGGAAGAAAGCAAGAGGAAAGGAAGGTTAGAAGAGAAGAGAAACTGTAGAGAGAGAGAGAGAGAGAGAGAGAGAGAGAGAGAGAGAGAGAGAGAGAGAGAGAGAGAGAGAGAGAGAGAGAGAGAGAGAGAGAGGAATGAATGAAGGAGAGAGATGAAGAGGAAAGAAGAAAAAGAGAGAAAGAGGGATGAATGAACGTGGAAAAGGAAGAGGAAAAGAAGAAGAAAAAGAGAGAAAGAGGATGAATGAAAGGGATAGAGGAATAGGAAAGAAAGGAGAAAAAGAGAGAAAGAGGGATGAATGAAAGGAGAAGAGGAAGAGGAAGGAGAGGGGAAAGGAGAGACAGAGGGATAAATGAGGGAGGAAAGAAGATGTGATATTAAAAATGACAGAGAGAAGGATATTATAAGTAGTATTATGAATGCAAACACAGTACTGGTGATATATACAGATGTACACACACACACACACACACACACACACACACATACACACACACACACACACACACACACACACACACACACACATACACACACACACACACACACACACACACACACACACACACACACACACACACGCACACGCACACACATACACACACACACACACACACACACACACACACACACACACACACACACACACACACACATATACACACACACACA